GCCGCTCCGGGTGGGTACGGCCACGAACCGCCGGGCTTCACTCGCCCCCGGGCCTGGGACCCCTGCCACACCCCGCGCCGACGGCCTGGCGCTCGCCCTGGAGCCCGCCGCGGGTGCCGCCAACTTCTTGGCCATGGTGGACAACCTGCAGGGGGACTCCGGCCGCGGCTACTACCTGGAGATGCTGATGGGGACCCCTCCGCAGAAGGTAGGTGGATGGGCGCTCCCCGCCCCCCTGGACTCTCCTTCCCTGCTGTACTCCCGGCTGCAGTCGCGGGCTTTTCCGGGGCTCGTTGCGGGAAAGCCCAGAGATGTCTCCGCGTGCCTAGTGTCGCCACAGAGCAGCAGCTGTCCCCGGAGAGAGGCTTGAGGAATGCAGAGGGGTTCGGATGGGCTGGGGAGAGGGGGCGCTAGCGCTTGGGACGCGGCAGATGGCAGCCCCTGCCGGGGCGCCGCTGAGGGGTGCGTGCAAGTGTTTGAGAACTTGTCTGCGGGCAGCCGGAGGAGACTGTGAACTTCCCTCTAACGTGATTTCCTTTTTGTGAGCGACACCTTGGACCAGCAGGAGACGGTGTCGTGGGCTTTGGGCGAGGAGAAGCTGGGGAAAATCACCTCGTATTGATATCCTCCACCACCACCCCGCATGCTGTCTCATTGCTAAAGAGGCGGTGGCCAAAAGTCACAGTACCCTTTAGAAGGGATTTATGCTTCAGCTCAGCTAAAAGCTACCGGTTCTGAAGTGGCTAGGTCGCTGCCGGTGGAGGGAGCAGGCGTCCTCTGCGCCCACGTTCCTTTCTCTGGAGTTGGTTTGTCAGCTTCCCCGTCGTGGGCCAGCTGCCCTGCCCCTCTGCGCCGAGCCCCGCATCACACGCGTGTGTGCGGGAAGTGTGAAATGCCACCCGGCTCCCGGGAGGAAGATGGGCTGGTCTAGGTGTAGGGGACCAAGCGGGCTCCAGACGACAAAACAAAAATAAAATCAAACAGCTTTCTTTTTTCTCTTACTGTGATGTTCATTTATTAGCACTTTCTGTACTGAGAAACACGTGTTCGCAGGCATGGTAATCTTAAAAAGAAAAAAACAAAACCGAGAACTCATTTGGCCTCCTTCCTCCTTTCAAAGTACCTCATCTAAGTGGGATTGGAAGTCGAGTTTCCGTCAATTGAATACACTATATAGAGATACTTTATTTTTATTTTTAGCATTGTCATTTGAGTTTTAACTTAGCTATGATTCCCCCATAAATAGAACATGCTCATGACTTTTGTATAATTCTAATTAAATTATTCAAGACTTTAAGAGGAAAGATATGCCATGCTAACTCTTTTAAAAAAGGAAACTGCTGAATAACTTCTGTAGTTGTTTAGTTTTAAAAAAGAAAAAAAAAACCTTCAAAAGCATATTCTGCTCAAAACTTTGATTCTAGTTGCTTTTCATCTAAGTCTGGGGAAGCCGCATGAGTGATCTTTGCCACCTCCGAGGGCGGATGGTTGGAGAGAGGGAATGGGAATCACATCAGCTGAGGGAGCTTAACTTGACCTTAGTATCCTGGTCTCACTCGAGCCACCACGTGAAAACACATGCCTGGGGGTGAGACCTTTATAAACATCACGAGCTATTGAGGAAGAACCTCTTTTGTGGCCAACAGATAATCTTTTGGAACAGCCCCCGATGGATGACTCCATATGGGAGGTGTGTGCAGTGATTTAAAAAATGCTCATGTGGTGTTAGGATGGAAGGGAATTCTCTGCACTGAAAGTAGCTTGTGGCACTTGGAGGGCTGTGATAGAGAAGCCAGAGGCCCTGCCTCTAGAGGACAGGGGAACCCAGAGATCCTCAAGGAGGACAAGAAAATAACAGCTGGGGCTCTCAAAAAAAAAGCTTTCACCAGTAATGGGCTGCCTCTGTTAATTAATTCAATGACCTTCACTTTAAAATGACATTTAATTAATCTAATTAACAGGTATGTATGGAGTGCCTCATATCTTTACCATAACCAAGGAAGTAGTTTGTTGAAGATTGTTTCTCAAATATTAGCACGCTACCAGGGAGGGCTGTTTCTACAAAAGCAAATTTAACTTTTACGTTTGATGGAGAATGAAATATTCCATACGTCCTTCCTGGTTCACTTATCGATAAGCTGCTTTATAGAACAGCCCATGTGTACCATCCTTCCAAATACCTGCGGTGAACACAGGCTCCGGTGACCAGTGCATTAGGATTCTCTGCTTGCCTGTCTGGCCCTGAAATGTCTCTGACCCCCAGCAGGGTGTTGGCGGCAGGCTAGAGGGGGCAGCAGTGAGGTGACTTCTGAACCTGGAGTGCGTTTTGCTGCTCTATTAATGGCCAAGAGTCATGCATTTATTCTCTGCTGATTCTCTGCAGCCTAAAATAAAAATTGCTTAGGTGGAGAGAATAACGGAATTGTAAATTCAAGCAATAAATAACCAAGAATTTTTCACGAATTAAGTAATAGCCATAGTGTCTGAGACCCACGCGCATGTCAGACACTGCCGTGTGTACTGTGGATGTGCTTTCCCTAGGAACTCTCCAGCCACCTCCTACCCCTCCTAGTTTTTAAATGCATTTGGGGGGAGGGAAAGCTGAAGCTTGGCATGGTTGAATTACTTGCCAGGGCAGCAGGGCAAGAAAGAGGGAGCCAAAAATTACACCTGGGCAGCTGGATCCTAGAACCCAATTTCCGAACCACCAGGGTGATAATGACTCCCTCCCCTCATACCTCCTGATCCTTTGGTTTTGGTCTCAATCTACCCTTTCCAGCCCAAGATCCCTAAACCTTCCAGCCCAAAGTGTTAGGAACT